TATAAATGTTTTCTTGTCTTTACATTAGTATTATTTTCAAAATAATAATAATCAATAATAATCGGGGTTGTTCAGGCAGGCCGTCAACCAACGATCTTGAGGAGCCTTAGAGAGCTCAAGAGTTCCCAGGAAAGTAGTGGTTAGTGACTGAGATTTACAGATAGATACATGCAGTAATTTGATGTACTGTATATGCACATAGAGAGAGAGAGAGAGAGAGAGAGAGAGAGAGAGAGAGAGAGAGGAGCTCAAGGTGCCAGTTCCCCTGGTAGTCTAAGCCTATAACAGCATAACTAAGAGCTGGTCTACACCAGCACCAGCCCTAACTATAAGATTTATCAAAAAGGAAAGTTTTAAGTCTATTCTTAAAAATACAGACTTCTGCTTCCTGGACCCCGGCTGGAAGGCGGTTCCAGAGGAGAGGAGCCTGATAACTGAAGGCTTTACCCCCCATAGTACACTTGGTACCACCAGCAGGCCTGCACTCCGGGACCGCAATGCTCTCGAGGGGCAGTACGGCACTAGTAGCTCCTTAAGATAAGATGGTGTCTGGCTTTTAGAGCTTTGTAAATGAGAAGAAGGATCTTGAATTCTATTCTAGACTGTATAGGGAGCCAGTGCAGAGAAGCCAACACAGGAGTAATGTGGTCCCTTTTCCTAGTTCTGGTCAGTACACGAGCTGCAGCGTTCTGGACTAGCTGAAGAGTCTTTAGAGACTTACCAGAGCACCCTGACGAAGGAGAGTTACAATAATCCAATCTGGAGGTAACAAATGCATGAACTAGTTTTTCTGCATCATTTTGCGACAGGATATTCCTGATCTTGGATATATTACGAAGGTGAAAATAGGCTGTTCTTGAAATTTGCCTGATGTGGGAGCTAAAGGACATATCTTGATCAAAAAGAACTCCTAGATTCCTTACAGTGGTGCAAGATGCCAGGCTGATGTCATTAAGGACAGTTAAATCACTAGAAAAAGTCTCTCTGAGGTTTTTAGGGCCTAGCAGAATAACTTCAGTCTTGTCTGAGTTAAGTAGCAAAAAATTTCTGGTCATCCAGGTCCTAACGTCCTTAAGGCATGTTTCTAGCTGACATAACTGACTGGTGCCATCGGGCTTAATTGATACATAAAGCTGAGTATCATCTGCATAACAATGAAACTGTATGGAGTGTTTCCTCGTAATATTTCCCAGAGGAAGCATATATAATGTAAAGAGAATTGGTCCAAGCACTGAACCTTGTGGCACTCCATGGCAAACATTGGTGTGCATAGAGGACTTATCATGAACATGTACAAACAGGATCTGATGGTCAATGGTGTCAAAAGCAGCACTAAGATCTAACAAGACGAGCACAGAGAGAAGTCCCCTGTCTGAAGCTAGAAGTAGATCGTTTGTAACTTTAACTAGTGCAGTCTCAGTGCTATGGTGGACTCTAAATCCTGACGGAAACTCCTCAAATAAACTGTTGTCATGGAGAAAGTCACACAGCTGATTAGCTACCACTTTCTCCAGGATATTAAGGTCCCTGTGACGTTTCACCTTAAATATGATGTTGCCCCCTCCCCATGTTGCGGAGGGGTAATGGGGATGAAATTATCTCCCTCTGTTCCGCCTTCACAGCTACTGCTGTGGTTCAAAGTTTATCAGCCCTTGGGGGCCTCCCTACTGGCCTGAGGGCCCCCAAGCAGTTGCCTGTTGACAAAAAGTAGAGGTGCTACAAGTGAAGGAGTTGGTGGACACATTATGGTAATAACCCATGTTCTTATCTCTGGTAAACAGTGTGCATGTAATCAGACTAACATCTGAAGCTCTCATTAACCAATTTTTTTTGTTGTATTAGCACAACAAAAAACGTTAGAATATACATTTATGTTGATTAAACATTTCACCAGTTTAAACCACATATATTTTTTCATCATCTGACTGAGGAAGTAATCGGTCCAATTCACGATTTTATTGTGAAGTTGAAATGTCCGGATGTTGCGGGTAGCTCACACTAGCTTGACAAAGCTTCACTTACAACCAGTGTACCGTTGGTGTTTGCTGCTCAGTAATGTTTACCTCGCCGTAAAAAAAGAGGTATGCTTCCACCTAGTGGTATTATTATCAAAACACCAGGTTAAAAAGAAAAAACCACCACACTGTAATTACTTTGCAGGGTTGGAAAGAGACAAGAATATTGTACTCAAATAAAAGGACAGTTACTTTTATTGACTTGAGTAAAAGTAAAAGTTCTGGTCTATAAATCTTTTTAAGTGAAATAAAAAACTATTATTTTAAAGGTGTCTTAAAGAAACCAAGAACTGAGTAGTTATTTTGTACCTGAGGGGTTAAAAAGTAAAATCTTCCCCTCGTGCAAAAACAACAAGAATATGAATCTCCAACCAGGTGGTTTCAGTAAAACTTTAAATAAATGCCCTTCCCAATTTAAGGCCCGGCCCCATTTACAGAGGAGCTACTTGACAACAACAGGCAAGGCAGGTCACTGCTTGGGGCCCCTGGTCAGTAGGGGGCCAAACCGAGGCCTGACAAACTTTAAACCACATGTTGCAGTGACTCAGAATTTTACAATGACAGTTGAAAGCCTCCCTTGGGGGGTCCCATCTGACAGTACTCAATGATGTTGCACTGCTAAACTTTCCAATCTTCCTGTGAAAACTTGAATGTGTCAGATTATTTTTTAACATAATGGTGATGAATGCTGGTTGGAGGCCCCCCCTCCCAATGTTTCCTGTCTCTCTTCGGCTGTCCTTCAAAATAAAGGCAAAAAGGCCCCAAAAAACACTGTTTGACTTTTACTAGAATTATTTCTAAGTTTTAAATTCGGGTTCTGTGTCAACCCTGCTCCTTCCTCAGGCACATGGTGACATTATGCCTGAGGGAGAAGCCAGCAAGTTATTTTTAAAAAAGCATCACTATAATTAAATAGTCAGGATTAGTTTTTGGCTGCAGGATTTCATTATTCCGATTCTGATGAGGTACTTTGTGTGGGAAACTGGTATCAGAGGATCAGAGCTCACCAGAGTGTCAGCTTTGTGTATAAAGTTGACTTTAATAAATCCACACATTCACTGTGGCTTCATTCATAAAATTTTTAATCAGGAGAGACTTCAGGAAGAGTTTACAAATATTTATTTAATGGTTTAGAAAAAGATAAATATGTAACATCTTTGATTAGACTCCGCCATGATGACTTCAAGAACTCAGAGGGGAAGCGAGGCCGACAGCAGGATAGGATAGACTCCCCCTAAGGAGTCTAGACCCTGGTGGTGATAGAAGAAGTCAGGATGTGATGAGGAGTGGGTTTCTGAGTCTGGATCTGAACCCTGCTGAGCTGGACTGGAGGTGATCGGGGCGGAGGGGGGGGTCGCAGCGATCGCACTGAAATGACAAACTGACTTCAGAAGACAGAGGACCGGTTTGAAAATCAGCAGCAGCAGGGTGATTGTTGGAGAGAGGTCGTGGGAGATCTTGGTTTGGACCCAGGAAACATGAGACCAGGGCCGTATCCGAATTGTCACAGTTCAGTATGCATTTTTTGGGTCCACCTCAGTATACTGAACATTTCAGTATGGATACTAACTTCCGGGTTTCATGCAGCATAGATCGGATGCGTGCTTTCAGGAAATTAATTGTATTTAACCCACAATGCTGTGCGAAATTAAACGTAAATCGTCACGTTACGTCCGCCTCCAAATCAAAACAAACAAGCGTGGATTAATTCAATCAATTTTTAATCTAGAGTTAAAGTCCCGACTGAAATCACTACATTTAATTAACAACAAAAAATAAAACAAATACCTGCATTATTATAAAACCTTTCCCCCTCTATTTAAATAATGATCTCACTATTTAAATGTGTCTTTATTGGTTTATTTTATATTCTGTATATTACTGTCTTTCATTTGTACTTTCCTTTATGTACTGTATGTGATTTAGTTATGTAATCTTTTACTTGATTTACATTGTGATATTGTTTTTTGTTTACCTGACTGTATATGAGCATTACTCTTCTTGAATAAAGCTAAACAAAAAACAAAATAAAAACAAAAAAACGGGTGAATGCGGGTTCGGGAAACGTAAATTACGTCACATCCATACTGAATGAATCAGAAGAAGTAGGAACAAATATCTGCCTACTGTGTGTGCATACTGAATAGTAGGTACTAACAGTATACAGCACGGATAGTACGTACTGCATACTGAAAGATTCAGTATGTACTTGGCAATTCGGATACGGCCTGTGTGTGTCCTGGGCTGCATACTTTACGTTTACTTTCGCACAGCATTGTGGGTGGTAAAACACAATTAATTTCCTGAAAGCACGCATCCGATCGATACTGCATAAAACCCGGAAGTTAGTATCCATACTGAAATGTTCAGTATACTGCGGTGGACACAAAAAATGACCACTGAATGACCACGAAAGTTCAGTATACTGAAACTCCATACTGAATAGTACGTACTGCCTACTGAACTGTGACTATTCAGAAAGGGCCCCGGACCATGCAAGTCCTTAAAAAGAGCTGATAGATAATCTGTGCAGATGTGTTTTGTTCCTTCTTATTAACAGTCTGCCCTCCAGATGGCGCTGTTGGATCAAGGAAGAAAAACACAAATCATCATGTTGCATGCATCTGGTTTAAGGATTTAGATATCTTCAAATACTTTTGACATTTGCGATAATAGAGTTCCTAATAGAGTGGATGCATAATGCTCTGCCGTATTCCTGTCACATTGGTGGTTTTAGTCCCTTTTCAAAAATAACCCTGCAGCCCGTATAGGTCCCTGTGGTACCAGAAATTGAATGCATGCAGGCGTCCCCGGGACAACAAAACAGGAAAAACAAACCTTTATATCAACAAGGATTCAATCATTTATGTGATCAGGGACAGGAAATAACAAGGGATCATTTGTCGGAGAAAGGAAATGATCCTGCTCCTGTGAGGATGAGAAACAGCATTCATCTCAGAGATCCTGTACATTCATCGAGATTAATAGTTACTGCAAATGATTGAATCACCTCTGGATGTTTGAGAGGCCACATGCAGGGAGTCAAATCTGAATCTGAATCTTTCTAGTGAATTGTTTTTGTGCTGCTGAGTGCGTGGGAGTGGATTCCCCCTTTTAGAACAAACACAGTTATCATTACAGAAAACAGGTTTTTATTTCAGACTGAGCGTGTTAGACGATAAAAAAATAATAACTTTATTTATATAACACCTTTTAAAAACACAGGTTTACAAAGTGCTTTGACAAACAGCAAAAACAAGAACAAAGCAAACGAAACCAAACACAGAAGAACAGAAACAACAGCAACAACAAACAAATGCAACAGATTCAACAGAAAAGAACCCAAAGTGCACGATACCCAACAGACATATATAACCCGACCATCACAAGAACCATCATAAGAACCATCAGAAGAACCATCAGAAGAACCCAGGCAACACAAGAACCCAACAACACGAGCTGACACCAAGAGGACCAAAGATTTAAAAAAATGTAAGAAACTAAAAGAGATAAAAACAAATAAAAAGATAACAGCAATACGAAGGTAAGAGCAGGAAAAGAAATAGAAACAAGTGATTAAAGGATAAAAAAAACCAATAATATTAATAATAATAAAAAGTATATATTCATATAAAAACATAAAAAGACAAAGTAAGATAAAAAAAATGACCAAGTTAAAACATAAGGAGTTAAGATAAGAGCATAAATAAAAGGACAGTAAGAAGTAAAAGAAGATAAAGAGTAAACCAGTAAGAAGACATTAAGAAGACGACATCACATAAAAGCAAGTCTGTAAAAGTATGTTTTAAGAAGGGATTTAAAAGAATTGAGGGAATCTGTGAGTCTCACCTCCTCAGGGAGGTAATCACAGAAAACCTCAAAACAGAAACTAATTAAAGAACTACTACTTACACTTTTTAAGATTCTGGGTCCTGACAGACATTAATAACTCATGTGCTCTGAAAAAGGAACAAAGAAACCTGTCAAACCTATGACACCGCTAACGATACAGCCTCACGCTACGTCTCAGTCTGTTCTGAATAATATCTGCAGGGTTGTACTCTCTCGGCCTCTCGGAGTGTCGCGTTCCCACCTCTGGAACTCCCTCCCACCACAAATCTGTAACATCGACTCTCTCTCCATTTTCAAATCTCATCTCAAAACACATCTTTTTAAACTGGCATATTCAGTCTGCTCATTCTCCGCCCGGTCTCATGACTCCTTCACATCCTGTACATTTGTGTTTTTAATGTTAATTTGAGTGTTGTGTTGTTTTCATCTCTGCTCTGTAAGGTGACCTGTATCAGAACCAGATAGAGACAGGGACTCAAAAGCAGACTCACACGTGGCTGAGTTCAGGAAAAGGTAGAGTTTAATAACAGTCCAGGTCGGTACACGGGCAGTCAATTCTTCAAGGCAAAAAAATCCAAAGGGAGCAGGCAGAAGGCAAAACAGTAAGGCAGGCACGGTCAAAAATCACTATAAGTCTACTAGGAAACAATGCTGGAACAAGGTGACACACAGGAAACACTACAACTGGTAACATGAGGGAGGAAACACAGAGATATATACACACAGACAATCAGGTGATAACTAGACACAGGTGAACACAATCAGGGCAGGAACACATGAGGAGCAGGATCTGAAAGACAGAGACAAGGGGAAGTACAAAATAAAACAGGAACAGACAAAAATACTAAATAATTGAGTAAAAAACAAAACATGACACGAGGTAACTTTACGGATCCTGTCACTGTCCTACATTTCATTTCTTTTATTGTATGCTGATTTTATCCATCGTTGTTTTTTAAATGTTGATTATTGTACAGTGTCCTTGTTTGTCTTGAAAGGCGCTTATAAACAAAATGTATTATTATTATTATTATTATTATTAAAACTATTAGATTGAGCCTACATTGTTTATTGTCATTTATAATTTCAGTTAATTTATTGTAATTTCATAGAACAGAGTGTCCTAAATTAATGCAAAGACAAGAATAATATTGTTGAACATCAGAGCAGCAAAAAGTTTTTTGTTGTTGAATTGAGATTTCACAAAGACATCAAAAGTAGAAAAATAAGAAATAAATATTAAGAGTGAAAAGTTGTCTTCAACATGATTTAATGTTCTTTTGTTTTTGCAACAGTCCCTGTAAATATAAAACACTTTACAATAAATAAACAGATATTTGATCCTCAGAACACATTTGAAGTTGTTAACGTCTGTATGATGATATTAAATGTCTATCTTAGTTGGAGCAGTGTTTGAACTCACAGGTTGCTGTCTCCATGACGACCGGACACAAGAGGCGTTGCACGTGATCCGAAAGTGGTCATCGGTGCAGACTCGCTGGTGGAGGGTTTTACAACCCACTACCACTCCCCGCTAATTGGTTTGGGACAGACTTAATATGGCGGACCCTCAGCGAGGACGCAGAAACAGAGGGGTAGTGGGGAGGGAGAGGGTGTAGTGGCCGGTTTGAAAAAGACCCACACAATATTTACAAGAGAGGAAAGGAGGCTCTATTGAACTAACATGCCCTCCTCTGGTTTTAAATATGTCCTCAGACAATATTTAAAAAGCTTGATATAATGGAGACATGAAGAATGAAGAAAATGACCTATTATTTAATCTGGAAGAGAAAAAGAAAGTGAGCTGAGGAGTTGTATTGACTTTATATAATTATCTTTAAGTATTAGTGTCTGGTCTGTTTATTGCACCTCATAGCTTTCACACTTACCTCAAACTTATCACAAAGTGAACTATCTAAGAAAAGCACAAACTCTCTAATCAATTCATAGCTTTCATGTGATGTCACACATGCTCATGGAAGGTAGGAGAGGTGGGGAAAAAATGTATTCATGTAAAAATCGAGATTCATAACTTCCAAAAATCTTCTTTTGGCTAATCAGTCACTATCTGCTAAATCTAAGGCTAGCTCTTTAACTCAGTAGAATGCCAAATGGAGCAGTAAGAAAAATTTGCCAATCTAACAAATGACTGGAGTAGATCCTGAAGTATGTACTAATTCAAAAATAGACTTTGTATCAGGAATTCAGAATCGTTTTGAATCGAAAAAAGATTCTGAATCGATTCATGAGACCTAGAAAGGAAATCAAATTGAATCGTGAGACTTCCAGCCCTAGAAGGTAGTGTTACATTGTCACCTTGGTTCTCTCAGTGTAGAGACTATCTCTCCATCTTGTTACATTACGTATGTGGGATATGATCCCCTGCTCGTCAGAGTCCGTGGGTATTACTTGAAGAGACTCGCCCCACAGCTCATTCCCCTGCTGGCCTGCACTCACACTGCTCAAGGACTAACCGGGCCTGAGCGAGTTTACCTCTTGTACATAAGGTTGTAATACAACACAGGCATGGCTTTATGTTATCATGAAGCGTGCTTAGTTTACAAGACAGGCTTACTTGATAAAAAAAAAGAAAGAGACGCGCTGTCGGGTGTTCTTCCTTTCCTCAGAGAACAACACAGAGAACATGTCAGCTACTTTACTGACTTTGTGGCTTATTTTGAGTCATTGAGTCACACTCCGGGATGTCTCCATAATGAAGGCTGTCCACGTTGTGTACCTGTGTACTTGTGCTCATGCATGAACTGTACCGTGCTGAAGCACACCTCTTTGAATCATGCCATGGCCAAGGAAGGATCGGAGCATTCTCACTGGTCAAACGAACTGGACTTTAGGGCTGTAAATTTCCATTCATACAATCTGCTTTCTCATAATGCTGAGCTGAAACATCAAAAGAGTTGCTTGCAGACAAGGTGTTTCTCCTTTTAATAAGTCATGAGGTTTGTTAAAAACATCAACTGCTTCACAGGTAACTCTTATCAAGTATTTGAAAAACAATCTTTTTGAGGCAGTGTGCATCAGGTTACAGACTCTAAAGTCACAAAGGAACATTTAAAATTTCTGCTAGACTAGATTGGGGCAACTTAACCACTGCCTTATTCTGACATCCTGCCAGTGTACTTGCACGTTCAAAATTCATCTTTTTGTTTTAGGTCAGAGTTGTGGTTCTTCTCTCAAACTCCGCCTGTTTGCACCCATAGTTAAACCAAGTAAGCTTATTGTCTGCTGCAGCTGCTGATCGAACACGTTTCATTGGCTGCATTCTCACACATTTTATCTGAACTGCTGTCTGATGGTGTCTTTACATGGAGTTACATTAAAGATTCTTGATATTCTTATCCTTAGAAAGCCAACCTCGTTAGTGCCTTAGATTCTTTTTTAAAATAACGTCAGTACTGGACGCCAGTCTGTAACTTCATCCATATTCATAATGTGAAGAGGAAGTAAGACAAACTTTAACAGCTTGACTTCTGATGACCACAGAGGAACATTTGCTGTAGAGACGACATCTCCTCCCTGTTGTAAGTAGAACTATTCAATGATATGCCATTTATTGAAACATGTACAGACCTTCTGTTAATGTGTTTTATTTACTCTGAAGTCACACAGGGATGAGAGGAGCAGCTATGAGTTTGAAAGCAGCAGTGAGTGGATTGGTTATCTTCCTTCTCTCTGTGTCAGGTACTGTATATCCTCACTAAAACTTTCATCACTGAACGTATTTGGATAAGGCTTAAATTGTTTTTAAAATGATAAAAGAGTAGACTCTTTAATGTTCAGGTTTTTTAGATTGAGTGTTAGATATGATTCAAACTGTTAAAGACATGTTTGCTTCTGTTTCTTTCTATAATTAGATTGTTTTGTCTCACTAAGTTTCTAAGTCTTACGATGTGTTTTTAATGTTTTCATACATTCAACATCCGTCTGCATCATTTTTCACAAACAGTGAAGATTTTTGGAGTATTTTACAGTAAGAGAAGTTCTGAATACCTAAAGCTGCAGAATTCAGTAACTTCCAGCTGTAAGAGTCTTTATTTCCTTCATGAGAGAACAAGATAACATCTCCAGAAAAAGGGAACCAGAAATGCTGATGCATTAAGTTTTGTATGATGTATGTGTGATGTTTCCGTTCTCTTTCTGCTTAACAGTGTTGGGGTTGTATCAAGTCAACTTTGGTTATATTCTTTAATAATTATACTTAATTATTAATAATATAAATAAAATATCATTAAACTATGTTTAATCTCGTTTTGGGGCACCAACCTGTAATCAGGTAAATATAACCAAAATATCACTCAAATCAGTCTCACATTAGTTATTTAATTACTAATATTATTAATAATGAATAACTATATTTAATAAATTGAAGGCGTGAAATCCGTACACAAAGCCTTCTCACCCAGCTTATATCACAATGCAAATACACTTGTAACCACAAACAACTGCTCTCTTAAATTATAACAGAATTTATTTAAACAAAGCAACACCAATCCAAAATCAATGAACTTAATTAAACAAATAACTATTATAAACTAATCTAAGCAACAAACATTATCAAACAAGGCTTGTGGATGAGGTGTAAATGTGTGTGTGTGCAGATGAGTATGTATGTAGATGTGTGTGTGAGAGAGAGAGAGAGAGAGAGAGAGAGAGAGAACAAGATGGTGGAGAGAGACAATGCACCATGTGGCTTCGTCACATGGTGACAAAATGGTGGACAACAAAGGAAGCCGTGTGGCTACCTTTTGAAATAGTTTGAGCTCTCTGAGCTGAGTTCAGTAACTGTTACTTAAACACCAGAAAGCCAGTGGCCGGACTTTGATTCAACGGCGGGTACACTGGTCTTTCTGATTGTGAAAGCCGTTGACTGAAGGTAAACTAGCATAGCATTAAACACATAGACGAACACAGCAGTTCATTACAATAAAACAAATGCAGTAGCTTACAACAGATAATATACAGAATGTGACGTGTCGTCAACAATGATGCATAATTATCAGTGGTTATAAAAGAAACATAACTATTTCTGAAACTATTTCTGCCCAGACCAAAGCTCTTACTTGGGGTAACTCCTGGTGATCGTTGCAAAGTTGGTTAGATCGTCACTCTGTTGAATGTTAAATCAACAGATTCAGGCAGGTTTCCTTCGTGGCAGATGTAGGAGGAGGGTAGCGGGATTC